TTACAGACAAATAACTCAATAGACTTTTTAAGAACGGGGGCATTAACGTCTGAAAAAAATGGGGGGGGGGCTTTTAGTAGGATCTTGGGTTATATTTGTTGGTAAATGCATTTATATCAAATATACTAATAAAAAACAAATAAGATATTTTATTCTGTGTAAAAACAGTTGATCTCAGGCAAAAAAGGGCAATTTCAGTGCGTACTTCGCGAGTCGGCGAGGGAGGGCGGACACAACCCAACATAATTCCCTTGACAAGCAATAAAAAAAGGTCACAGTCATCTTTATTGAGGGATCACTACTGTATTTGCATGCATAGTTTATTTGGAAATGTAGTGGGTACGCATACCACCCAACATTATTGATAATTCCCTTGACAAGCAATAAAAAAAGGTCACAGTCATCTTTATTAAGGGATCACTACTGTATTTGCATGTAGTTTATTTGGAAATGTAGTGGGTACGCATACCACCATGCACATCACGAGTATTGTTTTACAGATCTAACATTAGCCATTATAACGATTTACATATAAGACACATATAAGAATTTCTACATATAATTAAGTACTTTTCAGAGTAAAAAGAAACAACGAAAGATATTACTAGATATTTTATTCTAGGCAAAAGTTATATGTAAAAATAACTTTTAGTAATTAATATTTCTAGTATAAATAAATACACCAACAAATGTTACTGAAAACTATTCTTAAGTTTGTTCTTTTGTCGTATATGTCACCTCCTCTCTTTGAGGAAGATAAGAAACATAAGAAGTCAAGCCTCCACCCACCATTCCGCCGCCGAAATATATTTTCCCGTTTAGGAAAGGACTTTACGATTTTGTTTTTTGTTTTAAATTGGTTTGGTTTTTTCGTGACAAGAAATATCTGGGTTGGATTTTATTTAACTAGGATGGGCCCCTCGTGGAAAAAAGTTCTTGGATCCACGCCTTTTTTCTTTAAATTCACATAAATATCAGTATGAATTTGAAAATTCACTGAAATATGTGTGGGAGAAAGCAGTGAGCAGTTGCCAATATATGTGGCAGTAAGCAGTGAGCAGTTGGTTGTCGTATGGAATTCTATACACCCCCACCCCCATTCTAAAATCTGAAATATCTGGATCTCCCCGGAATCCAAGTAGTGAAATTCTTACACAACTTGAGCAGAGTGTACACTTTATGCGGCATGGATGTACATGTAGGAGACTAAAAGGTAGACTACATCAGATTTACAAATACAAATACAAATATTTTATTAATAAAAATTGGCACAAACACAATTACAGTAATTGGTAAAGGTCCATAGAAAACATAGTGATAAGCATGAAAATACAGTAGAACACAACTAGAATACAAACAATTGGTGTAGCAAATTATGTATTGTACTCATAAAATACTATATAAATACATACATATGATTCAGTTCAATGTAGTTACTCATTTATAGCTATAATATTTTTTCTTATATCAAATATTTGACATAAAAATGATGAGAATATTTTAAGAACCTTTTTACAACTAGTTTTCATCAATAGTTTTAACAATTTGTCATTATATTATGGATTGTTTGGTTCAAGTTAGGAAAAGTAGATAGTTTTGTTTTGAATACTAGTATGTTTCTCTGTGCTTCATATTTTGGACATAACAAAATGAAATGTTTTTCATCCTCAATATCAAGGTTTTGACATACTTTACATATCCTATTATTTTTATTAATTTTAACATATCTACCTTTTTCAATTTCTAAGTTGTGTGCACTTAACCTAATTTTTGCTAAAAATGATCTATCATGTAGTGACTCTAGTTTGTCAACATAATGAGTACGTCTATTATCAAGACAAAAGTTCTGATAAAAAGACAGTTTTGAGGAGTTCATTATATTTGCATTTTGTTCTTGTAATATTTGATCATGAATGCGTTGTTTAATAATGCCAAGCACTGGTTTCATTGACATATTAAAATTTGTTAAATAAGAAAATCCTAAGTTATTAAGACAAGTTTTTAGACACATAGACCATGTGTTAGTTTCTTTAGTTTTGATAAAAATTTCATGTGCCAATGTATGTTCCATTGAAATTAAATGATCAAGGTATTTGATAGCAAACATAATAATTTTTGATTTGACTGGGAGTCTCTCGAGTTCAGAATAGCAGCCATTATTTGAAGTTTTGCAATGAACTCCTAAGATTTCTTTTAAAAATTTTATATGAAATTTTTCATAAGATGCTGAGCCTGAATTTTTTATGACTAAGTCAATACCCCAAACCTCGCTGCCGAAGCAAAATGGGGATTATCATAGTATCAAATAATTTTTCAAACAATTGACAGGAATGATGTAAACCGAGGGATTTCTTTACCTTGAATAATGCTTTTCTAGCTTTATCAACTAACCGAGCTGCAGCAAGATTAAATTTGCCATTACATTTAAGATTTATAACCAAGATAATATTTGTCGACAGTTTCAATACAGATACCATTAATAGAAAAATGGTTTAAAAAGGTTTTACCATTAGAATTAAATACCAGAATTTTTGATTTGGACGTATTAATCTCCAGTTTCCATTTAACACAATAATTTTCAAGAGTATTAAGGCTACATTGTAGACCATCAGGACTACTTGACAACAAAACTAAGTCATCTGCATATAACAAACAGTGTATGTTTGTGTCCTTTACCAATATCGGATCAGAATTGATACTGTTTAATTTATCAACAATTTTGTTTATGAAAATGTTAAAAAGCAAGGGACTTAATACATCACCTTGTTTGACACCCCTTTCAGACATAAAGGGTTCACTTAACCCCTCATTAAACTTTATTTTGTTCATGGTGCTTGCATACATAGAATAAATCACATTGAAAATTTTCTTTGGAACACCATTTTTTTTAGAAGTATGTAAAATAGACCTGTTCTCCAAATAGTATCAAATGCTTTTCTCAGATCAATGAATGCTGCATAAACTTTTTTTCTTTTTGAGTTTGTAATGCTCAATTATAGATTTTATAGAAAATATATGATCGGCTGTTCTGCTGTGTTCCATAAAGCCAATTTGATTTTTGCTAATTTGATTATTATCTAAAGTAAATTTGATTAATCTCAAATGCATGATTTTATTGAATACTTTTCCTAAGTTTGAGCTTATCGATAATCCTCTATAATTGTTTGGGTCAGATTTACTACCTGTCTTATGCAATGGGACAATAAAAGTTTCATTCCATATTTTAGGGAACTCCCTTTTTTCAAATACAAAATTAAAAAGTTTGGTAAGTGACTCGAGCAAAGTATGTGTACTATTTTTTATCATTTCATTTGATATTAAATCAATAGATGGAGATTTACCATTTTTCAAAGATTTAATGGCTTTAAGTATTTCACTAGACGTGATTGAGCTATTCAGTACATTCATGTCAAAATATGACTCTTGTTTCTTTTTTAGCTCTTCAAATTTTTGAATAATTTCCCTTTGAAATACATTTAAGTTTGAATTATCCAAAGACAGTTTTTTGAAATGATCTTTAAACTTGTCATGAGGTTATACATCCTCATTTGTGCACTTTGATGAACGATCAATTTTGTTTATTAATTTCCAAAATGATTTAGGATTTGAATTAAGAGAGCCCTTCTCAAGCTCAGTATAAATCTTTTGTTTGCATTGTCTCTGCTCGTATTTACATCGACGTCTGAAACGTGAACGTAATGAGTAAAACGCTTTTCGATATTCAGCATTAAAAGGGAATTTGTTAACTAATTTTTCATAGTTTTTGACTGAGATTCTTAGTTCTTCGCATGAATCTGAAAACGGTTTTTTGTTATTATCTTTTTTTAATTTTCTACAATTTACTTGTTTTAGTTGTTTATTTCTCCTTTTAACAAATTTGGCTGACATGTTGGCTGTTTCAATTAGAATTGAGTTAACTTTATCCACCATATCATTAACATTATCAAAATCATTTCTCATGAAATTAGTAATTTTACTTTTTATAGTTTCACTTTGAATGTTAGACTTGAATAACATAATGGCTTGATCTGTCCAAATGAATTTGCCTGGTAAAGGGGAAAGTTTTGATGATGTACTGGTACATTCTGTGTTACACTTAGAAATTAAACCACATACAATAGGACAATGATTTGACAAAGCAGTAAAATCCTCTACTTGAAAAAATCCTACAGATTGTAAAAGTTCATTTGATACAATGGTATAATCTACAAGGCTACACCCATTATAAGTAAAACATGTTGGTCTACCAAATAAATCACATGTAGTTCGACCATTTAGGATTCTTAAACCTGCTTCTTTACAAACATTTAAAAGATGTTTACCACTATTATTTGTTCTTTTGCTATCTAGATTATTTCTAGGCAAATTTACATCATATTTATAAAAACAACATCATTATTTGAATGGTTCAATTCATCATGTAAAACAAAATCAGGCATAGTATTGGTGTATGCATTAAAATCACCTTGAATTATTATATCCCCAATTTTGCTAAATTTAACTATGTCCTCTAGTAGGGCAGAATAAAATGTTTCAATATGATCTACTGTACAAGATGTACTTTCAGGGGATAGGTAAATAATAGCTAAATAAATATCTCTTTGCAAACTAAAAAACTGTTGGTCAAGCTTAATCCAACATACATCTGGATTATTGGATTTTAAATCTGAAATACCTTTGGAAATGGAGCTTTTGGCATAAATGCTTACCCCTCCAGAATTTCTACGGGCTTTTTTTTTTTTTTTTTTTTTTTGTTTTAGCAACAATTAATTAAGTCAAATCCTGGCAAGTCATTACACTTATTGTCATTTTCAAACCAGGTTTCTACTAAACCAAGGATTTACATGTTTATTCATACATCATTATGACTTTGTACAGAATTTGAATATTAGGCTATATATTTATTCGTTTATTTATTTATTTATTTTTTATCTATTTATTTATTTATAGTTTATTTATTTATTTATTTTCAGTTTTTAACTTTTTGATTTATGAATTTTAGGACATAAAATTAAATCGGGATCGGCATTTCGCTTTGTGTATACCAAAGGTGGCGAAAAACGGGCAACTCGCAGACAAGGTATGTTGTTTTTGCTTTGGTGCTTAAAGCTGGTGATTTCTCTATATGATAAGAAAATCTTATTGACCCTAGAAAAAAGTTGTAAAAAAGTCTTACTTAAGAAAATATAGAAATTGCCGAGAAAAACAGGAAATTCTTTAGGTTTCTGATTAACTCGGAGCACTGAGCACTCGGAACCAAGTCAAATCGAAACCTAGGTCAATCATTAATCCGAGATTCCTCTGACTCTTACACCTGCTTTTTTTTTATATTGTGACTTGTGCACAAGTTACAATATAAAAAAGCAGGGGTTAGAGTCAGAGGAATGTTGGATAAGTCAATCAGCTACAAATATATGAAAGTCTACCTGTCTACTGAAAACAATTTCAAAGAATGTTGTTACGAATTGACTTCCACACATCATTAACCTAAAGATCAGAAGATCGCAGGGTTCGACACTAACATTTTTAGGTGTTGGTCCGGCCGGACTAGTGGTTCTTTACTTTTACTAGTCCGCGGACAATTTTATGAGTCCGTCAAAAATATAAATAAATAAATCGAATTAACATTTCAATGTACTTTTTGTGCTTTTTCGAAATAAACAAAGCATTTCAGAAATGTTTTATTCCATGATTCGTTGAAATCGCGCGATCAGGAACTACGATTGGGTGATTACATAATCCAAATGTTGGACATATTTCTTTTATGTGGATACTAAATCATGATTGCTTAAATGTTTCATTTCATACAAATGAGTCTTAAAATTAAATGCCATATTGACTAGGGCTGGATCAATATATCGGTAATCGGTATATATCGATATTTTTTAGAAATACGATAACCGATACAGAGATGCTTGCGTATTGCTCGATTATTTCAACGTTTAATTAAGAGAAAGAAAAACGGCAAGGTGACTTATATTACGAACGACTTATCTAAAATCGTTTAAACGCATGTAAACATGTCAAAAGTGAAGGGTCGCTTCGTAAAAGTTAGCAGCAAAAAGGCAAAATGTAATTATATTTGTCAACAAGAAGTCGCAAGTTCTGTTGGAACAACAAGCCTATATAATTATTATTACCCATCTCAGCCGGCATCGCAACATTGACCTGTTTGCTACTGTAAAACTTGGAGGCAATTCCGGTTGGTAAAATGGCGCGTCGAAAAAAAAGTCATGGAATGTAATCCGATAATAAGATATCAATCAGAATTTTTTAAGTCATACTTTATTTTAACTCAAAGCAATTTGGTAAAATATTTTATCTGCCATTACTTCCACGAATACGACATCAAGTGAAGTATCAACACAGACAAACAGGTCAATGTCGTTTGTGGCTTGAGAACGAGTCCGAGTATTTAGCACCATAGGCAACATATTTACATGCACAAGGGCTTGTCTGAAACCTGACTAAGTGGATCGATGCCTTGATTTTTCTGAAGAAAAATATGGGCAAATAACATTCATCTTTCATACACTTGTCCATTCAAAGAATAAAATAAACAAGGATTTAAAATGTTTTATTTTTGTAAATTTATGCTGTAATCAAAAAATACTATCACCTCTTTAAAAAAAGCATGCAAAAAGTAGTGTTTTCTCATTTGTCTGTATCGGCAATATGTATCGCATATCGCACCTCTGTATTGCAATATGTATCGTATTTAAAAATTTCTTTCAATACCCAGCCCTAATATTGACTCAGAATTACATAACTTCCCGCCAAGAAGTTAGAAAGCTAAAAATACATATGGGGTTTTCCAGTGAAAGTTGTCAAGAACATCGGTAATTTTTTTTTTTTCCAGAAAACTTGATTAGTCCATTCGGACTTAAATTAACCACAACTTTTATAAGTCCAAATGACATGTATTAGTCTGAGACTAACGGACTAACGTTAATGTCGAACCCTGGATCGTTGGTGCAAACCCTTTCTGTGACTGGCCTAAGGCAAAAAAATTCTTTCGCCAAGGACTCTGTACTTTAAAGTAAAAGTTGCAGTTCCTTAGCATGTCAGATACATTAAAAATCGAAACCCTGTGTCATGTCTAGTCTTTGGCATGACTGTGATGCCTCACTGCTCAACGACCCTGAGCGCCGAGTAAAGGTCACCTGCATGTGTATATGATGACATTTGTATTTGTGTGAAAAATACACAAATTTTAAAGGGATGTTAAACCACAACCAATCAATCAAAATTGGCCACTTTTTAAATGTAAAATTCCCAAGTAAAGAGTACAGAACCCTGTAAAATTCCCATGTGAAAGAGTACAGTCAAGTAAAATAGCAGGTAAAAAATATTTTTATGAACACAAATATACATATTTGATCTCTTTCATATTTTCAATAAGCAATCCCAAAGTAACTTTTTTTGTATGGTTTGCATTATTTTTTTACAGGTTTTAGGAACTATAATTAGATCATGATGTCAGAGGACAAAACAATGCAGATAGCACCATATCAAAGAAACCAAGAGGCAGAGCTAGGGGAGGAGTGTAGTGGTATAAATTTAATGAATTAAATATATGAACATATGATGAAGATAAAGAACAGTATTCAATAATCAAGTCCATAAAACAATACAAAATTTGAGCAGAGCAAACAGATCCTCCGAAACATCAGAGGTGGGTTCAGGTGCCATGGAGGAGTGGGTTTCCCCTGCTGGCCATTCGCACCAGCTGTGTGCTACTTATGATCTGGAAATAATGGGAAAATCTGTAACTAAATTAGTGCTTTTTCCATTCTTTACTGTTAATTAATCAATCAGTTAATTAGTTACTAAAGCACCTGATGACTCCAACACGTCCAATGTACCAGATTGGAATTAACTGTTCCATTTTTTAAAACCATTTTATATGTAAGAGACACATTGAAATCATACATTTTGTATTAATTATTAACATCATTTTTTGCCTGGACAGTAGATAAGCTCCAAATAGCCAAGATCTTGTAAATGATTTGTAACTTATAATTACATAAATTTTTTCTATTTGTTTTCTCTCAGACTCTCAGAGAAAACAAAAGTAAAAAATGGTTTGAAACCATTAATTTAGATTAAGAGGTGCTTGAAGTGACTTTCAGTGTCCTAAGCCCTTTTATTAAAATAAAAATAAAATGAACTTAATAAGAGTTTATACTTATGATTTATACTTATTTCGTGTCTTGGTTGTAGAAAAGGTGCAGATATTTGAAAATCCTGACCATGTTACAGAAAATGAAGAAGAAGATAATCAACAACAGAAAATATCACAGGTATTTTTATATTGCTCAATGCTATTACCTGAATAACCTCTGACGTACAGGCTTTATTGTTGAGGAGTCACCTGCATGGCGCAGTGGGTAAAGCATATACTATATTGTCGCGAAGTAAGGAGTAGTTCCTTAATATGTCGAAAGTTCAAATCTCACTGTGGAATGTGGAGACTGGGCATTGGGATTAGACCGTATAAACCAAGGTCTGGTGTCACAGTAGTTGTTGGCACAATTAAGATCCCTCCCTGCTAAATGGAATTTAGTGCCAAGAAAAGAATAAAATTTAAAGCTCTCCACAAGAAGGTGCAGAAGTTTCCTCAATTCTGGTGGACATTTTTCATCATATTTGAGATACTAAATTTGGTTAATAGGCAAGCATGTTATCTATGTTTTTAGAAACAAAATGTGCTGTAAAATTGATGAAAATTTGCATAAAACTGGGAAAATTCGAAGATTGACCTATTTTCTGACCTCTCTGTGACCTCTGTGTATTTCAAAACTTGAACCAATTGTTCCTAATTCTGATACAAGTTTTTATTGATAAACTGTTTTATTATTTCAAAAGATACCAAAAATCAGGGGACAAAAGGGGGTCTAGGCCTATCTTGTCCTTTTATCCTGAGCCTGAAGAGGGCAAGCAAACATATTAAAGAAAGCCATATCATTATACATGTACAATTTTGTGATGTGATAACTTTGTAAAACTCTTATTTCAAAGAATCCATACCAACTACCCCATATGTACATGTATGTTAGATATTGTTTTGAGAAGACGGATTCAATTTTAAGGATACTTTAACAGAGACCAGTTTCAAATTTCAAAATTTAAATCGATGATTGTTCTTGATGATACAGTTATTAAATAGACTGTTAATTATCTATGTACAGTGTTTTTTGTGTTGTTTATGCAATTTGAAAATTCTTGAATTGTATAAATCAATACTTAAAGTAGGCAAAGCTTATGTGTCATAACAATGCCTCATAAGGCTCTCCAAAGTTAGTTCTATGTTTAAGATCACCCCCAGAAGTAAAGAATCAAACTAATCTGCATTTTTTTTTTTGTATGTTTCTGTTCCTTTCTACTAGTACTTTTAGCACCTAAAAACTACATGTACATTCGATTTACTGATAGGTCGGACCAAAACAAAGTCGGACTATAACAGAGTCGGACTATAACAAACTCGGACTACACAAAGTCGGACCATAAAAACTCGGATTATAACAAGCTCGGACTACACAAAGCCGGACCATAACAAACTCGGACTATAACAAACTCGGACTACACAAAGTCGGACCATAACAAACTCGGACTATAACAAACTCGGACTACACAAAGCAGGACCATAACAAACTCGGACTATAACAAACTCGGACTATAACAAACTCGGACCATAGAATAAATTTACTATATTTTGATATAATTATGTTTACTAATATTTTACTAATAAGTTATTGTTTGAACCAAAATAAATATTTTGCACTTTCTGTAGTTAACAGTTATAAACACCTGCAGAGAAAATCTATACGTCCGCCGTGCTATTGAATATTTTTAAGTACCAAAGATATCAATTTTTTTTTTACAGAGATATATGACTTTTGAATGCCATATAAATACGTATATTTACATTCGCTGTGTTTTTCTGGTAAGCAAACAGTGAAATTGATTTGAAAACCATTTTCGTGTAGAAATATACACGGAGAAACGTGCATTAACGTGACGTCACAATGAAGCTAAAGCGACGTTAGTAAAAACTCAACGATATAGGGCAGCGAGAAATTCAAATATTTAGCAAATTTTAGTTGTTTCCAAACATGTAAAATGTAAATATAAGGAATGTTTTTTAGTTTAGTGTGAATTATTGGTGTGTGAATCACACCGACTTGCAGGTAGGCATATTTTTCATGAAGCGCTAGCGCGCTTCATGATATATGCCTACGTAACAAGTCGGTGTGATTCACACACCAATAACTCACACAAAACTGAAAAATATTCCTTAAATAACCCGACAAAAGCAATTTTGATGGTACAATTTTGAGTGTGTTTTGCTTTTACAGATTCCATATATATGTCTTTGAGAATATTTACAGAGACGTAAGATTGATTGTTCAGGGGGAGAGGGGGGTTAAGTTAATTTTTTTGCATCCAAATCTTCTCTTAAAATAATTTATCTACTAAAATATTAAACAAGAAATTAGGAAAAACATGACAGGTACATACATTTTCTCAGCAGACGTATTCTACGACAAATACTTTAAAGTGTAAAATGGATGAAAAGTTTTGTTTTTTCTTTTTTTAAAGTGTTTTAAAATTGTTTTAATTGGTAAAACACACATATCTATAGTATTCAACTTAATATATATAACAAAATACATATTAATTTTATATTTAAAACAGGTATCTGTTATTACTTAACATATACA